AAGAAAAAAAGCGCCAAAAAAAAAAAAAAAAAAAAAAAAAAAGAGAGAACATATAAAGTTGTATCAACTACTGTCATGTGGAACTGGATTTGAAGAAAGAGAAGTTAATTTCTTGTATTGCAAATCAATTTTTCCCTCTCCTTTCTCTTTAATAAAAGTTTACTTACATGGACGACACAATTACTTGAAGCATTGCATAGGGCCTTGCGAATTTATAGCAAGTAGATCCGAAATTTAAAACTCTTGCAACTTCCAATTTTGGACAAGCTTCAAGTCGAGCCTTATCAAGTACCGGCTCGGAACCGGCGAATTCAAGTTTAGCGCATGCCTAGAATCATTAGTCCAATTCAAAATGCAAAATGCTTCTGATAACTAATACAAAATACAAGTTGAGCTGATACTACTGTGGCCAACTAACAAAGGTAATCAAAACACAAGAGTAATTATAGTACAAAAAAACAAAAAAAACTAAGAAAAAGCTGGATTAGTGTTTAGGCAAGGAAGGCCTCAACAATATCCTAATTAAAAGTATCGGATCAGCGTAACCCCATGTCTTTGGTGTTAGATGCTTCTGGATTAACTCCTTAAAATTTGGATTATTTTGCATTGTTCATGTCATCCTCATGCTATGACTTTTTTTTTTTCCTAATTGAAAAGAGGTTCAACGGTGTTCTCACGCGCTAGTCCAGTAGGGACTTCGCATGTTGTTGAAAGGATAGGTGAAACAGAAAAGAACTTTGTTCATGCTTTCATCACCAGTGATCTCATGCAAAGATTACGCACGGTGATTTGTTTTTTAAATATATATATATATATATATCTTTCTAATTTATCTCATGTCCCCAAAGAGCCAAATCTAAAATTGTGCAAAGGAATCTAGGGATTTTGATATTTATACAATGTTTAAAGTTACATCTAATATAATCTAGGAATTTTGATATTTATAAAACATTACATACATGCAAAATAATATTGAAAAAATTTCTCATTTCATTGATAATCAGGAAAATATTTACTTCTTATTTAATTTATGGGCATATATCCCAACAAAAGAATCCCGCATTTACTTCATTATAGATGAGGTAAATGGTAGCAAGCAATGTTTGATTAATACAAGAGGATAGTTATTCACAATTCTGTAATATTATTTACTAAAAAGTCAACGCCTCAATAACGAAGGTTGCGAAAGTGTACCCTGATGGAATCATGTTCATCATGTTGGCAGAATAATAAGGATTTGGGAGTTTTTGTGGTATGCTAGTCGTACTGGTAATGTCAATTTTCGATCATTGAATCAAGTTAAAATCACATTAAATTGAAAAGTATGCGGAACAAATAATTTATGATATAAATTTGACAGCTGAAAATAAAAAATTACAGGTAATTAATTTTTTCTAGTCCTTCTCGAGAAGCTCTCTAAGGATATTTGGAACCTGCTCTCCCCATAGAGCCCTATGAATTGGATGGATCATGTTAAAGGAAAGTTGGGAGATTTGAAACATATTTGGTTGTGGGTTTAATTGGTGTTAATTTATTGACACGATAGGAAGCCTTGCAAGGTCGAGAGATATTAATAGTTGGTACTCTAAGGGAAGAGTGAGACATTGTGAGCTCCATATGAAATGTTCACTGAAACAAACGAGCAAAAAAATAACAGAAGAGAAGAAAATGTGTTGAAAAGAAATGCTTCGAGAACTTTGAAATATGGGAGACAGAAAAATTATACTTGTCATGATCCTATCAATTTTACAAGTCTTCTGTAAAGTAAATGCCATCAAAACATCTGAAAATGAGAAGTAAATGCGAAAGAGTCGTGTAGAACATTTCCACGTTCGACGAAACGCGTATACAAATGTCAAGAAAAATATAATTAAATTATCAGCAAATGCCTGAGAGTCATAGAATAGTCATAAACAGATAAGGTAAAATTTTAATTCAGAAAACAAAATTTAAGTTAAAAATAATTAAGTAAGTTTAGTTAATAATATTTGAGGCGACAAAGTAGCGTCAGTAGTTGAGCAGTCAAAAATTTTTATGGTCTTGTTTAGTAACGTTTACGTTTCTAAAATTTTAAGCAAAAAACAAAAAGTTTTCTCTTGTTCAATAAGCAATATTCTTGGAATTCCTTGAAAATCACGGCTAATATTGCTCACATGCTCATAAATTTTTATATGAGAGGGGCAGAAATTCAAATATTACTAAAGGAGGACAAAAATCTAAATAGATAACTAAACATAGGCGGAGTTCCTCTCATTACTGAAAAATAAACAGAAAATTTTCAAGAGCGCCATAAAAAAGATAACATTATTTCTTTTCTGCCATCAATTTTGAATTTATTATTTATGTTATTAATATTTCAGTAGGATATATCTACCACATTCTACCTTTATATATTTTTTTAGAAGAATATTTTTCATATTCTACCAAAATATTTTCATATTTTACAGGAATATTTTTTAGCATAAATAATAGGATGATAAAAAACAATGGCTATAATATTGCATATATTTTGTGCATATACATGTAACTTAAGTTGAAAAGAAATGAAATGTACCCGGATAGAATTACGCTTATATTGGCCGAATAATAAGCATTTTGAGAACCAGCTCTTCCCGCGTATCCGCACAGGTAGAATTAATCTATTGGTGGAGCATTTCGAAGGAAAGTTGGAGGATTTGATATTTTTAGTTCCGGACCTTATTGGTAGTCTAAGGGAAGAGTGAGAGATTTTGAGCGCCATGTATGTGAATGAAACAACGAGGAAAAATAGAGGACAAAAGACGTCAAAAAGTGTTGAAAACAAATGCTTTAATTTTATCTTCAAAATTTATGAGAGCATAGAGAGATTATTGCCATTCTGTGACAAGTTTACCTGCCTTATAACGTTGGTTTTCTGGCACCCAGATATTACTTCCATTTTTTGATAAGTCTTATTTTTTGGAGGCTGCTGCCCAGCCGGCTCGCGGACCTCACTATGAATATGAAAAGTTCTTTTTTTGTGGTTGCATGTCTTCTACTCTAGTGATAATTCGGCATATAAGATATTCTCTTCTTAATATGGAAGCGGCAATAAACAAAACTAGAAGAATTCTTCGTGCATACTATTATTATTATTATTATTATTATTATTATTATTATTATTATTATTATTATCATTATTATTATTTTTTGTGTGTGTGTCAATTGTTATACGAAGAAGACACTTAAACGAGACTAGTGCTAGGGACACTAACTCCATCTCTAAGCTGTTTAATTTGCAGCTGGCGTGACTTTAAGCCGTATTTTGTATTGTACGTTCTGCACTAATGCTTTTTATGGTTAATTTTCTAGTTTTGTTTTTGTGGATTCTAATTAGTGTTTTTATTTATTTATTTAGATAGTTGGCTTAAGGTTAATATACTGATGGAGCTACAAATGGTTGCCCTGGCCTTGCGGGATGTGGAGGGATCTTCTTGCTGCGATTAAATGCATATGCTTAAACATATTGCATATGCTTTTGAGGTGAAACTCCTTGCTGCGATTAATGCAATTCTCTTTGCTTCTCACTATGTTTAAACATGGATCGTTCTCTTTACTTAAACATGGATCGTTCACTCTTTTTTCCTTTTTTGAGTTTCCCCACGGGGGTTTATACCGATAAGGGTTTTCAAGGAGGCCTCCAATTTTGGACTAGATCGTGTTTTGTAATTTTTGACGTTGTTGATTACGTTGTTCTAGGAGGATTTTGGAAGATTAGTTTGTTTAGGATTTTGTTGCTAGTTTCCTTTTTTCTTTTTGTTACTCTCTTTCGAGAGATGTTTAATTGACATTAGTGCAATTTTTTTTTTTTTTTTTGTTACTCTCTTTCGAGAGATGTTTAATTGACATTAGTGCAATTTTTTTTATTTAAGAATAAATTTTGTGTTAGGAATTTGATATAGGACCAGAACGGTTAGAGTGTTAACCATGTTGAGATATTCTAACTGTTTCTGATATCAGTTATTTCTCTCTCAGTTCAAAGTAAAAATTCTAATTATGGTATTACATTATGGTCAGTATTCTTTAATAATGTTCTTCGTGTGGGAGTATGGCATATAACTGTTATATATATATATATGTATTTTTTTTAGATCTGGCTTACAATTAATTTATTCTTCATGATAGGGAAGAAATTTTTTTTGAATAAATTGTTAAAACTGATACCAGCACTTGGTTAGTATTCATTGACCAATCTCATCCTATACCAGAACTCTCAATCAATTATTAAAATAAAAAAATAAAGTAAATGTTCCAATAAAACAACTCAAAGGAAAAAAGACTAAACAAACAGAAAAATAAAACAAAAAGCCTATAAAGCCGGAAGCTATCTTCAAAAGATAAAATCTTAATTTTTGCCGGAACTTGTGCCCGTTGTCCGAGCCCGCCCACCCAAGAAATTTGGGCTGCCCGCCCGAGCCTGACCGCCACCTTGAACGGGTTTCGGGCATGTCTTAGCTGCCCAAGCTCGTCCGGGCTACCTGAAGTTTTTTATATTTTATAAT